TTTTAATATTAGGGGAGGCTTTAATAGTAGGGGGAAGGGATTAGTCGTTTTCCCCACATGGTGTTCTGACCACTTCTTTGCGCAGTGCCTGAGGCTCTGGCTGGCTTCCAACAGCCTCACGCAGAAGTGCTTCGATCTTGATGGCTTAAGAAGTTAAGTAGGGCTTGTGGACAGCTCTTCTTATGATCGTTTTCGTGATTGGCATTCGCCCTTCTATTTGAAGCGTAGGTTTGAGGGCACATGGACCCTCTACCTCAAGTGTGAACGAAAGTAGACTGTGTGACGTTGGGGAAGGGATTGGCGGTTCAAGGTGAACTATTGAAAGCATTGAATTGGTGCCGGGAACTATAGATACTGCAAGTAGAAACTATGACCGTTGAGTTTGCCTCAGCTTGCATAACCTTGATAACTGTTGTTGCGTCAAGTTTCTCGCTTCGTCTTTTCAGAACGTATATATGCAGGTCCGCTGGACGACTGCGGGACTTCGTGCAGCGAGCGGAGGGTCTCCGGGACCTGAGGGTAGGGTGCCGTTTGCGGGGTAGCCGGGGCCAACATGTGTCGCAGACTGCAGCCAGAACGGTGCTGTCTGAAAGGGCCAGCGGCAGGCGGCAGCGGGCATGTGCTCGTTTCACATGACAGGATTCGCGCATGGACATTGATGCACTGGCATGGTTAAAAGCTTTGGGTTGCAGAGTTGCCGAGGGTCGACCCCTCGTTACGGGAGGTTCTCGTCAGACTCGCAAACACCAAAGTCCGATAACGGTCTACCAGACAGGAGGCAATGAGCATTCGTGCCACGTGAGCCACTCACGGGTCCAAGGAGCGAGGCTTTCATCAGCCTGTGTTAGCCGACCGGTGGTACCCGTCAAAATCGACACACTCGCCACACCGCCCCAACCAGAGGAACCAAGAACAAGGCATACTAATTATCAAAAACATATCCGGTAAGATGTAGGAATCAATGAACCCGTGCATGTCCACTTGGTCCCTTGCAGCAGGTCGCGGCAATATACATTGCATGGCTTGCATGGCTGTTCGAGACCTCGTCAGGAAAGAATCTAAGAACGTTCCCGATCCCACGAAGTACGCCTTTGCCCCTGAATTCTCCTCCATGTGCGAAGGCTGAATCAGAGATCTCTGGTCAGCAATTCGGGTAGAATACTACGAACTCATCTTTTCGGAGCCTCCGGGCAAGCGCAGCACGCGCAGAGAGGACTTGGACTTGGCCTGCAACGACCTGGACGATGAGGCGGTGTTTGGGCTTATTTCTGCCTTGGCAACGAGACGACGACACTCGGCTTCTCCCTGCAAGCCCTGGCCATCCTGCACTGCCCTGAACACACTTTTTGACCAAAGGCTATCAGCGGTGGCTTTATCTGGCGGGAAACCAGGCAAGAGTGCAAGAGTCGATTGTGCTGATCGCAAGAGGATGTGCGCCTAGTGTCAGCCTGGTGCCATGGACCGGTGTGTTGCGACAGACGGGGTTTGGTAAGCGGCAAGGACAGCAAGTGCTGCCGACAAACTCTTTGGCACCTAATCTGCGGAAGTATCGGAAGTTGATTCTGAACGCTTTCGGGAAGCACATTCCTTTGTTCTCCTCATATCGGCACAGGAAATCCTTCGAAGCTCTTACAATCTGTCGTAAAGAGACAGTATACCCGGTCCTCAGCCTACAGGCCTACAGTGTGACTGAGAACGCAACCCGCTCCAAAAGCGAACTAGTCACTAGCATCATGGTGGGCAATGCGTTTTGTAGCCTGTATATGCCGCAATCGAAGACCATGCGAACCTGGTCCAAAGGTGCGCAATCCGCCAGCGCTACTAGAGCGGCTGCGGCGTGCGGGGGTGCATGTGTGCCTGGATGCCTCTGGGCCTTGAGGTAACTCCTTTATTGCCCGGGAAGGCGGTGGGTTTCGATACTAGCAGCCGGTTCATGTTCGTATATGTTCGTGTTTGAGTGCAGATGGCGGCAAAGCCGAGGAAGCCTGGTCGGACCTACCGAGCGATGGGGACCAAATCTGCCTACCCTATTTCTGCTTCCAAAGTCCTGACACCGTTGACCGAGACCCTGGCCTGGAGAAGCCAGGTGAGGCCAAGCCAATTCACACAGAACTCGAGGAGGAGCGAGCTGTGCCAAGCTTGTCCGCTAAAGCGAGCAAAGATGTCACCTCGGCTTTACGAACGCTAAGAACCATCATCCCTCCCTCAGATCCAGAGCAGACGCCGCTGTTGCCACAGACTCTTCCACAAGCTGTGCAGCCGGAGGCTTTGCCACAGTCTGTGCCACTGGCAGATGCTATTTTCCCCATGCCCGCGCTCTCGCACTTTGGGCAGGTCAGCGGCTTTCACATGGCTCCTGAACCTTTCCTTCTCGGACAAGTGATGTCTACAACAGCTCCTACCCCTTTGATGAACCCCTTGATGACCCCATTGCAGGTGCCTAAACTGAACGGCGTGCCTCCCCCGCCCCCACCTTTGCCTCCACTCAACATGACGTGTGCAGCTCCACGGGCGCCTCCGTTGCCTCCTGATTTGTTTACAGATTTACGCGCTGGTGGCCTGGCTGGTCTTACCTCTGGATCGATTGCCCCGACTCTGGTGAACATGCCTGGGGCATTTACTTCGCCAGCAATGGCCACTGCTCCGAATGGCTGTCACCCAGCTCCCGGCAATCTCGCTCCTGGTCTGCCGATTGATGGGTTCGTATGGATCAAGGTACGCTTGTGTGTTTTGCACCATGCGCAGTAGCGTCGTGCCCCAACCGCCCCGAAGTGACACAATCGGAGGCAGGTGTGCTGGTTCAGTTGGCCTCAGCTTGGACAGAAACTACATCAGGCTTTTCGTCTCCCCGGTGTGTGCTTATGTCAATAAGACTGCCCATGTTTTGCGTGCTAAGTAGTTATCGTTAGTTACTGTAACACGTTATACTTTACGGGCAACCCTTTGTGCCAAGCAAGAACCCTTTCCTTTGGAACCTCCTTGAGGCTATGGCATTCGGTGCGGTCGATGCAGAGACTGGGAGGACCGAGGCCAACTTCTTGGCTGCTCATATTATCGTAATGTCGTACGAAGCAAAGACACGAAGAATGAAAGAGTCAGAGCTGCCTACCCAAGGACCATTCCAGGAGCAAGGCTCCCAAGATCCGTAAGGCCAAAAATGCACACCACACTGCGGGAGAACGATCGGCAGCCCAAACTGTGCAGGAGACTGGGGAGGCAGCACCAGTCCCAGCTCAAATGTGCGCGGGATTGTGGCAGGAGCACGGTTTTGGAGGCGGAATCACGGACGAGTCGCAGCCCCGTGCACATACAGGTTTGGCAGCAAGACAATGCACAGACCTGAGGGCAGAGCACCACTGCCAAAGTCGGAAACTTCCCACAGAACACGTATCACAAAACCCGTTACATCACCAAAGAGCATTGAGCCCTACATGGAAAGCCCGGTAGCTGGAAATAACCGGCAACTGACGAAAGGAGCTTGTTTTTGAATGGTTGTCTGCTCAGTGCCCGTTGTAGTTTGGGCGATGCAAAAAAACAAAAACCTGTGTGTCGGTGGGGTTTTCCTGAACAAACTGCTCCACAACTCGATTCGACTTGTCAGTTTCTGAGTCGCCCGCAGTTTTGTCTAAACGCTGACAAAATGTTGGATGCACGTGAAGCATAAAGAAGCATGGAGGTTTCTTCCACATCTCTTATAAGGACAAAAAGCTTTAGTTTTCCTGCTGTCTTGAAATTCGTCTAGAAAGATAATTAATACAAGGTCTTTGTGAATCGGTTGCTGCTACTGAAGGCCTTGTCACGGTTGTTTTTCACAAAAGGAGTTATCTTATCTCTTATGACATGAAAATCAGCAGCAACCATATGTTTTCAAGCTGCAAACCCTAAGAAGTTCGACAAGCTTTAATGTATGTTCGATTGCGTTTAAGACACGCAGGAGATGAGTGATTATTCTTCAATTTCGCAACATCAATAGATACAAATGTGCTCTCACATTTCTTACAAGGATAAAAAAGAAACGTCCTGTTTAGTCATTGGCAGAATGTAGGAGCTTGTTGTTCGCCATGGTTAAAAATGAAGAGGAATTATTGGCCTTCTGTGTGATTTCTGAAGGTTTTTTCATTGAGAGCAGAGCTCTCTTCTCTGTTGTTGAGAGAACAGCACGGTTTATCCAGAAGAGGAGGAGCTGTTTGACGTTTGGTGGTGTTATCTTTGGTTCACAGAGGCTGGTTCCCTGCCCTATCCAAACCCAACCGGTAGGCACGCAACGTGGAGTGGCAAACGAAATCCGTTTGGGGATTCAGGTCGTTTCCACCTGACACAAAGAAGTAAAATGAGTAGTGGTAAGTATAGGTGAAGTCGAGAAACCATCGTGAATACCGACGGTTTCTTGCTGAGAAGACAACAGACAGAGACAGAAGATAGTGGAAGATAAGTCGACAAGAAGGCTGGTACGTATCCTGGAAGAGTGAATATATACATATATGTGTGTAATGTAATGTAATGTAATGTAATGTAATGTAATGTAATGTAATGTAATGTAATGTAATGTAATGTAATGTAATGTAATGTAATGTAATGTAATGTTACGGCTCAAGGCCGTGTCGGCTCAAAGGCTCCTGAGCCCAGGGATCAAAGCTGACTATCTAGGTGTGTGTGTCTGGGGCTCGGGCCGAATTCAGGCCGATCTCTAATCCGAAACGGACTGAGTGGGTGTACTCCCACATTTCCTGTCCTGTACGGGGGGGGGGAGGGGGTTCTCCTCTGCTCTTGGGGGTCTACTCCCTCATTTCTTCGCTGGGACAAGAGGAGCGGGGTTGTAGAATGGCCTCCCACGGGCCAGATTCAGAAGCCACGGTCAGGGCAACTGCGTTGCAAGTGGATGATGATGAGGATGACGGTGTGCAGGAAGTTCCTGATGGGGCTGATGCTGATGAGACTGATGAAAATAGTTTGTCCCGCGCGCCTACTGTGCCCTTCGGGGTGCCGGAGCCCCCACCAGGAAGCGGGGTGGGGCCAGTCCTGAATGCAGTAGCGCCCTCAGCTGACTTAGGGGCGCCCGCTTGGTCAAGAGATCAAGCAGTAGGCTCGGCACAGGACAGACGGCTGTCCCTGCCTCAGCAAGCTGTTCCACCTAAGCGGGAACCAATGGGCAGCGAAAAGCTCAGACAGCCCGTCAGACGCCCCAACGCGGCGAGCGGGTCAGAAGACCTGCTGGCTCACGCGGCGCGGGCCCAAGCCATCTTAGCTCGCACGGAGGAAAGCCCTCTCCATCAGGCGGGCCCAAGCCCGCAGGACCGAGAGGCTGCCGCAGCGGCCTTAGCTGCGGCCATGGAAGTTGACGCTAGGGGGAAGATGCCTCCTCCTTCGAGTGCTTTGGGCAGCCCGGCCAAACGCCACCGTCAGCAGGCAGTACATCCCCCTGGTCTTAAGCCTGCCCCTATGTTCGGAGCGGAGGCTTCTGAAACCGAGGCAAACCCCCACAGGCTCTACCATGGATCAGGGGAACAGAGAGTGCAAGGGGCGACGGGCGGGAGCATGAACCCGCACACGGACAGGACATCCCCTGTCCACCACCACATTGGAGATGGAGACCCTCCCTGGCTGGCGGGTCTGAAACAGACTCTGTTGGGGGACATGAGAGAGATGAAAGCAGATCAGAAGGAAATTCTTTCTAATGTTCATCAACAGAGGGTCGAATTCCGTGCCATGGGAGAGCGGATTCAGAGAGTGGAACAAGGCCAGGAGCAACTTCATTCTTTCAAGGAGGAGATGGCCAGGCGGCTGGACCATCTAGAGAAGGACCTCCAGGAGGTCCGTAG